TCTCAACACACTCAAAACCAATTGCAAATGTCCAGCATGCTCCTCCTGAGTCCGTGAATAAACCAAGATGTCATCGATGAACACTACTACGAACTGGTCCAAGTATGGTCGGAACACACTGTTCATAAGCTCCATGAACACTGCCGGGGCATTAGTCAATCCGAAAGGCATGACTGAGAACTCATAATGCCCATAGCGTATCCTAAAAGCAGTCTTTGGAACGTCTTCCCTCTTAACGGGAATCTGATGGTATCCAGAACGCAGATCAATCTTCGAGAATACTGTAGCCCCTCTGAGCTGGTCAAACAGGTCGTTGATGCGAGGCAACGGATAACGATTCTTCACTGTGGCTTTGTTCAACTGCCTGTAGTCGATGCAAAGTCTCATGGATCCATCCTTCTTTCGAACAAATAACACCGGTGCTCCCCATGGGGAAACGCTAGGTCGGATGAATCCCTTTTCCAGTAGCTCTTGCAACTGAGCCTTCAGCTCCTTCATCTCGGCAGGTGCTATACGATATGGTGTAGCAGATATGGGTTCCGTACCCGGAATGAGATTGATCGAGAACTCTACCTCTCTCGGCGGAGGCAAACCAGGTAGGTCTTCGGGAAAGACATCGGGGAAGTCGCAAACCGTACGAATGTCCTGTTGACGTGGTGATTCTTTTCGCATATCCTGAACGTGACACAGGAACATCTCGCACTTCTTGCAAATCAAGCACCTCGCGCTCAAGGACGATATGAACTCGGGAGCCTTGGGGAACACCTCCCCGGAGAGTGATACGTCGCTACCGTCCTCGGCTCTCAGCCGTACGGTCCAACAACTGCAGTCGACCACTGCTCTATGCTCGGTGAGCCAATCTATACCAAGGATAATGTCAAACTCCTTGTGTGGTAGCTCTATCAAATCTGCAGGGAATTGCTTCCCTTGCACGGACAACGGACATCTATGATAAATGTGATGAAGACGCATGCTATGTCCTAGCGGATTCGACACAACGGTAGGTATCTCAAGGTCACTCCTCACGATCACAGAATTAGCAGGCATGCCAACACAGATATAGGAGAGCGTAGAACCTGGATCGATCAAGGCATGCATAACCGAATCAAATAGTATGAACGTACCCAAGATAACATCGGGACTAGGATCTGTGCGCCCCTGCATGGCGTAGGTACGCGCTGGTGCCCGGCCTTACTGCTGCGGACGTGGTCTCTGCTGATTATTTGCTGCTGTAGACTGCTGACTCCGTGCTGGATGTGATGTGGCAGGCTGATCCGGAGCTCTAGGAAAAACAGGCTCGCTGCTAGGGTTTGTCGGGCAATGCCTCCTGAAATGCCCTGGCTG